TCGAAATCAAATGTCACAAATTCAGATTTACCTAGCAAGTAAAACTGATTTTTTCTTGTTTACCTAACTGCCTTTGAATGCGATTGCATCAAAATTGAGGATTTACACAATTATTAAATAATAATAGGGGAAAAAATTTTAATGAATAGAATACTTTCGACACTAACGATACTGTTAGGCAGACGACAATCATACTTTTTCAATAGATATACATATTTTGTTAAATATCATGTTTTGGCTTTCTTCATGAGTCCCTTGTGCAATAATTTGAGCATATTCCTAACATTAAATAAAACAGCTCAAGTGACTACAAACAAGAAAGAACAACTAGAGCTTTCATGTGTAATGGCTATGCAAATTTGTCCCATCTAATTATCTCACATATATATATTTAATCATATACATCATCACCCCATTTGGTTGCCATCAAAATCTTTTGTCTTCATTAGGAAAAATAAAGGCGTAAAAAATTACACCTTTCCAGCAAAGCCTTCAACAAAAAGGCAACTATCCTCTCTTGAAGCATAATGTTGGAGGTGAAGAACATTACACTTTTACATAGGAACCAAATTATAACCACCAAAATTTTTATTTAAAAAAGTTATATACAACAACAAGGGACATGATTTGCATAATAATTCTATGCAATATAAAGAAAATTCGACTTGAGTTCGTCCCGTTATATATATTCTATCAAATTTAGCAAATAGTGCAAGCGTTTGGATTCTCTTCAATGCTGTGGTGCACATGGTAATATGGGTTCATAGGAGGGGGCGGAGGGTAGTATGGTCTATATGGTCGATAAGGGAATGCTTGAGGTGCACCAAGCATAGCCATTTCGGGTGGTAGCTCGATTTTCATTTTCATTTCCTCCTTTTTGGGCTCGTCGGCTTTCTTAGCTTCTTCCTTTTTCGGTTCCTCTTTCTTAGCTTCTTCCTTTTTTGGCTCCTCTTTCTTAGCTTCTTCCTTGGGCTCCTCCTTTTTGGGCTCCCCTTCTTTCTTGGGTTCTTCTTTCTTGGGCTCCTCTTTCTTCTCGGGCTCTTTGGCCGGCCCAACCGAGATTATGTTGGCCGACCAATTCTTTTTGCGCAACTTGCTCACGACGCTCACGGGGTCGACTGTCCCGATCACTAATAGCTTCTTTCCTTTGAGATCGATCGAGATCTCATCAATACCTAGAAAAAAAAAACATATTACGATAATTTACGAAAAAAAGAGGATCATGTTGACCCTTTGGCTTTTCCGGCGATACGAACGTATTTAAGTAATTGTCTTCTGTAAGACCATAATGAAAACGCAATTTTTGTTTTTCTTCTAGGCGAATACAAT